GCAGGGGAATAGCTGGGTCAAATGAGACTTCCAGTCCTAGTTCTTTGAGGCATGTCTTATATTCTGAGTAACTAGTTTGAAGATAACGATACACTCTATTAACCATTGTTATTCTCTTATTATTTTGTCATGAAATTTTGTTGCATTTTTTCATAAAATAAAAAGTAAAAAATAAAGTTATACAAAAACCCCTCAAAATGTTAATTTTGAAGAAAAAAAATGCATGAAATCAAAAAGAATCTGTTTTATTTGTAACAAACATGAGCATACAGAAGATCTCTGGAGATGTAATTTCTTGTTGAATTATTATACACTTACACAAAGATTCCAGAATTGTCACTAAAAATTTACATTTTTAATTTATAATAAAAATTATATAGGTTCACAATACCCCAAGGTACAAAATAAAAGTGTTTGGCTGAATTAAATGACTCAACCCATTGCTTTGAATTCAGAGCTCAGAGTCATACACAACATATAGTTTTGACTTGCCTTTAAGCCTTGAGTTAGATATTATGACAATGCAAACAATTTGACATGATTTGTGTATTTGTCATTTAGATAATACAATCCTTAAGTAAATTCACTGAAATTTCTTAACAATGTTTTCTAAACTAAAGCTATAGAATAACACTCATTACAGGAGGGAGAGAATTATAGCGACTGGATTACTGTTGCAAATGATTCTGGAAGGAAGCATACACATTCAAAATACTATAAAGAATCATAAATACTCAAGGAAAATTAAAATTTTAAAATAGGAACATAAGGAAATATATAATTTAACTGAATCAAGATAAAGAAAATACTAGAATGCCAAGCCAGTGTTAATGTGAAAGAGTATCCATTTTTTTCATTTTTGATTTTTACCAGTGTATTGGAATGTGGTCGTTTTATATAATCTATCAGTTAGGTGTTTCCAGTAAGATGGTGTTCACCATTGTTATGACACTGGAGAATATTTCTACACAGATACCAGGGAATGTTGAGATAAAAATATTGGTCCAGAGGTCATAGTTATCCAAACAGGCAGAAAACAAATTCTTCTCAGATATCTGTTATTTTAGATAATCTCTCACTTCTTTTGTTGTACATTAATGCAGCTTATCCAACACCTACAGTAATGTGCTCTTTCTCAATAGAAGTCACCTCTGTGCCTTGTTACATATCCTGGAAACAGATATATAATTCAACCATTCAAAAACTGTAGTCTTCCTTTATACTTATAATTTTCTACTACACCAAATTCAATAATACTAGTCTCTCACGTGCGACACTTTTGACACATTCATGAACTGTTTCTCATTGAAAGAAATACAGTATCTGTTTTCCATGTGGGTGAAAAATATTTACATATTCTCCAAGTTCTGCACGGCAGAAAATGAAAATTGGTTTCATTTCCTATTTGTATTAAGAGATCTCCTCCAAGAATCTCGCCAGCTGGCTGTGTTTCATTTTCTCTGTGAATAGTTCATCAAATACTCTCTTCTGCTTTGAAGTAAAGTAGTTTATCCAATCACCCACCACTCCTGGAAAAATTGGAAATGTATCAGTCGAGAACCAATTCAAATGTACAATATTCACAAAAGAAATCAGCTTTATAATAAAAATATGTAAACCCTCATATGTTTTACTACAGCAGGCAAAGTAAACCCTAATCTAATGTAATAAAACCATAAATTAATGTGGACATAATGATATTTCATTTATTTCCTTACTTGGGCACCTGCTTAGCAGAAACTGTGTTGATAACATGCCACAGAGGTGAGTAACTGGTCTCACTGTAAGGAAATTTATTTTATAAGATTACTAATGGAGAATTGGAAAAAACCCCACCAAGTTTCAACATAAGGTGTTTGGTGACAAAATATATACTTCACATGGTCCACCAGCCTCTTCTATAGTATGAATCACTTTTCTCAGTCTTGTCAGCACTAAGCAGCTTCCCATGAGTGCTCAATAAATACCCGTATCTTACTAAAATATCAGACAATGCAACTAGAGCAAAGAAATATATTACAAGAAAGGAATTTTTTATGTTCTCAATAGCTGGTCCACAAAACTAAATTCAAGAAAGACCAAAGAGGAATTCCCCTATTTGAGGGGGAGGGAGGGAAGCATAGGAAAGAGTCCAGTACCTGGGGGAAGATTTCAAAGTTAGAAAAGGACATGGTCTCTAAAATGCACCAATTTGGACA